GAAATACATTTTTGCACAATACAAATGAAATCCAGTTCCTAAACAGTGCTAACTTGTATTATTGTATTTTTTTCAAAGTCCTGTTCCTGAGATTAGATGGAATAAGTATCTTGAACCCATGCCAACAACTGCTGAGATAAGCATGTCTGGTGCAGTTCTCAGAATCTTAAATATTCAGTTTGAAGATGAAGGGACTTATGAATGTGAAGCTCAAAACTATAAAGGACAAGATAAACATCAGGCAAGAGTTTATGTTCAAGGTAGATAGAACATTTTAATTCTTCACCAATTCAAATGCTAGGAATCACCTGTGTTTTCACACTTGATATCCATGTTTATTTAATGAATCATTTTGACACACTGTTGTTTGACTTAATAAAACAAAATCCAAAATTCATGCATTGTGAGACAACCATAAAAATGATCTATTAATTGAACAACTGCTTAATTTATTTCATTATAGTAACTATACTTACATCTTGACTGCAATGTGCAAGGTTTTAAAAATGACAAATATGCATAATGGGAGCTAATTTGCTTAATTGTAGAACAATTGAATCTAAAAATTGCTAAGGGAATTTATCATACTTCATGTTTCCTCATTCTGTCTGGTTCTTTTCATCCTTTCTATCTCTTCTTTCCTCCGACAGTTCCTCTTTTATATACTTGCTCTTTCTAAAGATTCTACAGGTCCCTTAAATGTCTGTTTAATCCTAACTTCAGTGGCATGTTTTACTAATGTATATTAATGTTAATATTTTTTTTAAGCATTCCCTACTTTACTTTTTCTAGGTTTTAAATATATTTGGCTTTTTTCCCATTGGAGACACATGTCCATTTAATTATTTGATACATTACTGATTTTCAGTATTCTTTCCTTGATGACCTATGAACTACTAATGTAAGGCCACCTTCACTATAGTATTTCTTGCCATGTGCAGTATTCTTTATGATTACAGTTATTGCAATTGGTATAGGACAATTCAAGTCCCTTTAGTAAATTTGTATCTTGCCTTATGTTTCTGAGACTCATACACTTATGAGAAGAGGTGCTTGTTATTCTTTTTTCCCATAGTTTAATATAATTGTATGCATTTGTGAGATCTCAGTTATCAAGATTACCTTCTCATGAGCTTTTCAGTTAAATGAAAGCTTTTGCTCAAACTGAAATTTCAAATTGAAATTTTCTCTTTTTGGAGACTATAGTAAGAGATGTAAAGCAGTGAGATTGGATCCAATATTCATGCCCATATTTTTTTTAATTTATTTTACTTCATAAAAATGTCCTATTTTTGGAGTGGAGTTGTGGCAGGAGGGTAGAGTGGAATCTTTATTTGGCTTACAGATTCTACATTTGCTATTAGTTATCTGTGCTACAAATATATGCATTTTAACATTTTGTGAGGGCTTAGTGGGGGTAATTATAGGGATATGTATTATGAATATTTTGTAGGGTGTGCTCCCACATAGATAGGGTTGCAGTTACGCATTAGAGCAAAGATGGCAAAAAGAAGGAAGTGGAAATATGGGCATAGATCCTATAGAAAGAGCTTATAACAGTTCCAAGAAACAATATGGAATGAGGGAAATGAAGGACTGTCGTGGTTAAAAGAGATTAGATATAAAAAGTGTTATATATTTTCCCTTTGGCTGAAGGACCTCATCTTGTTGCATCAGTAGATTCTGCACAATAATTCAGCAAGAGCTTGTATAAATGAATATTTTCAAGAGGGTGAGTTAAAGATACATTTCCAGCTATAAGACTGAATTGCTTTAATTGGCTTAAGACATATCTGTAGTACTAGCTTTGTATACTTTTTATGTTCATTATTTCATTACAGTTTGTGTATGCCTTTGGCTAAAATTTCAGCACAATTTGTCACTCAGAATGACTTACAGTTGACTGGCCTTGTGAAACACTTCATGCCATCACTTGTAATTAGTTTAGGAATTATATTCTTGCACATCCTGCTGTAGCTGACATGCACTGATGCTTACAGTCTAAGAAGAAGAGTTTGATTTTTTTCTATGCAAATAAAACCTTGTGAGTACACTGCACGTTAAAGTATGAGCCTGATATAACAATTATAAACAGTACTGCTACACTTGTAGTGAACTGAATTTACACATATATAATGGTATAGTTATATATCTGTCACAAACAATAGTTTGCTAAGATACATGAGTAATTATAAATAAAGCAAAGAAAAACCTTTCTGCTCCTTCCCCACATATATTTTTAAGAATGAACTGAAAATCTGAAGTGGTATGAGATGTAAAACACCATCAGTGCATCAAAAATGCTAATGTATTGTTGCTTAAAACAAGGTATTAATGTTAGTAAATAGCACAATATGGTAATGATTCTTCTTCTTCAAATGACTACACATGTCCATTCCATGGTCACCGTCTGCTAGAGTTTTTTCCCTCAATAGTACCATGTGAGCAACGTCAGCTCCTTCTGGTGCCTCATATCATTGCACACAGTTACACTGCCCCCAACTTCTCTCAATTCCTTCTTACTACCTGTGATGGTTATTGGAGCTGAGATCTCTGTATTTCTAAAATCTTCCGTTGTCGTCTTGTTTATATAGTACCTATCATGTTAATTTGGCAATGGTTTTGTATATAGTTACCAATTAGAATAAGTTTAGTCTAGTTCTTAGTGTAATAGACTGTTCATCGGTGTCTGGGTACTGGGTCTGATATAAGATGCATGCCACGCTCTGCTGGCTTTAAGGCCTTTCGCACCTATGGTAACCAGTGCCATTCACTGACCCCAACCCAGGCTGACTGGAATGCCTAGGGGAAGTCCACATAGGTGACAAATGTCATATTTGAGGATTCAGGTCCCATTCACAAAAGGATAGGGCGGCCAAGCTGAAATATTGATTCATAACATCTGCGCTTCATCCTCCATCAGAACCTTCCTGTGCTGAACATGTCTAAGTTGGTCAGGTCCATTCTAGCTAGCCTCATGGTACCAAAGAAAAGACTTCATAAATTCTCAAAGAAGTAGTATTATTTGTATTACCATAGTGCCTAGAAGCCCCAGTCATGGACAAGGACCCTACTCTGCTGCTAAGCCATGTACACACACAGCCCAACAGGACTGTTCCTGTGACAGAGAAATTATAATCTAAATATAACACAAGAGACAACATATTGATTTAGACAGGGAACAATGTACAGTACATTAAAATACAATAACATTTTTCAAGTACAAGGAACATTGAGACAATATTGGTCAGCATCATTGGCAGTGGCATCAGCACCCCAAAAGCCTAACCATCGGCAAGTTTTTAGGAGTTGGTGTCCTAGGTAATTGAGGAATGAAGGGAAAAACTAGCTTTAGTGAACTGTGAAGAGCTATTGCAGTGAACCTCCAATCCTGGTTCAGCGGGGCTGCTTATCTGTGTCTTTATAACAGATTCCTAAAGAAAGAGCATTAGCACTTCAGAATATTTTTCATCATGTTAGGAAATGTATTGTCTTAGTCCAATTCCACAATACAAATTGGCTTTTGAGATTCAGTGCTATTGCTTAATTCTTAGGGGAATATTGAGGATAAAAACATGAGTTAGAATTAAATAATGATGCAAAAAAATTGTTAAACTTATATTTAATAATTACAAGGAATTATGTTTTCTTTGTTTTTCAGCATATCCAGAATGGGTTGAACATATCAATGACACAGAGAGAGACATAGGCAGTGATCTATACTGGCCTTGTGTAGCCACAGGCAAGCCTATTCCAACAATCAGGTGGTTGAAAAATGGATTATCGGTTGGTATATTTCTACGTATTTTGTTGTGTTCATTGTTTATATAGACACTGAACATGATTTTAAAGCATACATTATTAAACAGAATTTTTGTGAATTATATGATACAGACCTTTGATAATTCAAACTGCATTAAGGAACAATTCCACCTCCCTTCCCCCCCAAACAAATCCCTTTTACCACATTAAACATGAATATGTCTCAAAATATTCATGGCAAAACAGAGATGTAAGAACTATTTAAAAATAAGATTGCTGCTCATATTATATTACTTGCAACTTTTCATGTATTTTATGAGAGAGAACATTGCAAATTTCAATTTTTTTTCATGGACATGAAGTGTAAAATAAAAGCACTGCCAAGTTGTTTAGACCCAATTTTATATCAGCTTTGTAACTGTTAACTATTTTGGAGTCATATATTCTGGGTCTTAAATATACATTAATTTTCTCTTCATCATTCTCAATAATTGCTTTGGTAGCCATTGATAGGGTTTCTCAATTTAGGTTTTAACTGATAAGCACTGATATGTCACCAACTATAGAAAAGGGAATGACGTTGATGTTTCTTCAGTAAATACCAGAAAAATACTAGAAATGCTTACTTGTTTCTAGGGGCTTGTCTACATGGATCAATAATGTGGATTACAAGGGTGTCATTTCTAAAGTGCACTCAAGTGTGTTGCATATTAATTGGTCTGTGTAGGCCTCATGAGTGTACATTAAAGTTTCCCTAGAGCAAGTTCACATAGTGTCATTTGAAATGGTATCAGATTAAAGTACGCTAGGGAACATTGCAGTGGGATTACTCATTTAAGTAAATAAAAGGAAAAAACTCTGAAAAACCCTGATTTTGGTCAGATACGTAAGACTCAAATCTGCTACTAATATAAACCCAGAAAACGAAAATAATATACCCTAAAAATAGGGACTCGTAGTAATATATACTCTGGTTCTGTGAAACAGGCCAAAAAGAAGAGGGTTTACAAAAGTACTATCACGCTGTTGCATTTCCAGAGCTGTTTTGACAGTGATACTTGTATTCAGATAAAGACAATGGAGCACTGCTATTTTGGCTGTGAGCCTTGAGGAAAAACATGCAGGAGGAGGGAAAAGGAGAACAGGGATATCAGTGTCTGCCATATTGTAAAGGATTAAACCAAAACAAAACAATCCTATTTTATAGCTTCTGTGGCTATTACAAACAAATGATTTAACAAGCAAAATTACTTTACTATCTCTTTTTAAGTGGGCATTCACTGACAAAATCTACATACTGGATTCCAGAAAATATCATGTAATTATCAAATAATATGCCACACGATCACAGTATGTTAGAATTAAAATATTATTTCTGATGAAAAAGAACAAAAATGTTCTCATTTCCATGAAAAGATTTTTGTTTCTAAATGGTTGATTGATTAAATAGGATTTTACATCCCTATGTTCAACATATTACAGTTGACCCTTATTTTAGGTCTAAAGCTGCCCAGCCTATTTTCTGCAAGAATATAGTTTATTCACTTAGTCAAATTTTTAAAAATTATTATCTACTGTAGTTTAGAAAAGTACTGTTGCTGTTAGGGATTTTATTTTTCCCAAACTATATCAGGCACTTAATTATGTTTAGCATGCTATTGGTTAGAAGAAGCAAGATTCTCAAAGAAGCCCACATTAGTTCACATTGAAGTCCTTTAGAAGATTCTCATTGACTTCACTAGGAGGTAGAGTGAGCCTTAACAATGGCTGTACTAATGTTGTCATAAGGTAAAGTACTAGAATATATTATAGATATTATCGTGCAGTTTGTTGAAGTAAAGCACATTGGCCTGGGCCATTGGCTTAGTGCAGTGGTCTCCAACCTTTTTAAGCATGAGATCATTTTTTGAATTTAAATGCAATCCAAGATCTACCTGAAACCCAAATACCCTTGCCCTGACTCCTTTGTGTCACTTCTCTGAGGCCCCACCCCTGCTCACTCCATCCTCCTTCCCTCCTCCACCCTCCCTCGTTTTCACCAGTCAGGAGCAGAAGGTTGGGGTGCAGGCTCTGGTCTTAGATTAAGGGATCTAGAGGGGCTCTGAGCTGAGGCAGGCAGTAGGGGGGCCAGAGGCGGTTTGGATGTGGGGTGCTCAGGGCTAGGGCAGGGTCTTGGGATGCAGGAGGGGGTTCATGACTGGGGTAAGGTTTCGGGATGTGGGCACCAGTTGGGCATTGCTTACCTCAGGTGGTTCCTGGATAGTGGTGCAGTGGGGCTAAGGCAGGCTCACCCCTGTCCTGGCCCTGCACCACTCCCCAAAACAGACAGCAAACTCCATCACAAGTCCTGTTGTGCCCCCTCTCTGCTCTGTAGCTCCTGAGGGGACAACTCCAAGGCAAAGGGCAGGAAATGCTCAGCAGTCTGCTAGGGGCAGCTGAAGTGCTGGACTTGATAACCTCTTGGCCAAACCAGTCAGGATCACCTGTCCGAGGCTCCAAGATCTACCAATAGATCCTGATCTACTGGTTGGTGACCACTGGCTTAGTGGATATGTTTGTTGTGTGCTAAGCATGTGGAAAAACAGATTTTGTTCCTTGTTCTCCAGTTTTCTTATCACTGGAGCTTCAGCACTGGGATTATTGCTGGACTTGATAACCTCTTGGCCAAACCAGTCAGGATCACCTGTCCGAGGCTCCAAGATCTACCAATAGATCCTGATCTACTGGTTGGTGACCACTGGCTTAGTGGATATGTTTGTTGTGTGCTAAGCATGTGGAAAAACAGATTTTGTTCCTTGTTCTCCAGTTTTCTTATCACTGGAGCTTCAGCACTGGGATTATTAGATGCATCTCACAAGTTTAATTTGGGTGTATGTCAAGAAACACTGAAGAACAATATGTTAAAAGGAATGTTATCCTGATTTCTCTCATTATTTAACTTTCCCAATCATGTTTTTTCACAAGAGGTAACACTATATATATATATATATATATATATATATATATATATTGCCACGAGGTTTAGAATGTAAAGAAGGGAAATAAGAAAGAATCGTCAGCATTTTAAAGGAATGTGAAAGATTCACCTCAAACACTAACACCAAAATAAAGAAGCATGGACAAATAGAAATCTTAGCAACTGTGTAGTGAATATGATATTCTTATTTTTCTGTTTTGTTTCTTTTTTTAGTTTCGGAGAGGTGAATTAAGAATACAAGGCCTGACTATCGAGGATGCCGGCATGTATCAATGTATAGCAGAAAATGTACATGGAATTATATATGCAAATGCTGAGCTGAAGGTTGTGGGTCAGTGAGATATCCTGCTTTTTTTTTTTTTTTTAGTGTAAAAACACTTTCAAATCTTAACAAAATTGTGGTCAGATTTCAATATTTGCAAGCACTAACTTTATATATAAAATATAGGGGTCATGGAACCACATTGCTTATTCTGTAATTTAATAACAGTATTTGCCATGTTCTTATTGAATATAGCTAAGATAATGTTTTAACACTGGAAATATTTAAACCCTTTACTGGAATACTACCAATAGGATGGGGTCCAAATGTTACCACCTTTAATTTTGTTATTACATTGTAAGAAATGTCCTCTGGATTATCACCTTTTCATGTTTACTTCGTGTAGCTGAAAACTTGGATGGCTCTAACATCAATGGCTTGAAGCACTTGTGTCTTATGCCTCCTCTCATGTTACCTACTCCCTTGAGCACACCCTGCTTTCTCCAGAATGCTAATCAACACACAACTTCTAAGTAATTACTGATGCTCCTACTACCCACTTCTTGTCCTCCCACAGCCTTTCAGAAGCCGATGCTGTGTAACCCATCTTTTTTACCCCATCTAGTGGCTAGACCACTTTTAGATATTTTAGTCTGTCACTACTTCCATGACAACTCATGTTGTTCTGAAACTCAAGCTGTAGAATCTCAGACGGTTAGATTCAGAGGTCCCATGTTCAGCCACCGTGAATAATCCCTCCATGGATGCCCTGGGCAGCTTTCACAGCCCTCATAGGTATTTCCTCAGCCCAGCTGGCTTGTGATCTTCTCATCTCACACATGCTTTCAGCCCATGTCTGCTTCTCTACCTGCTAGCCCTTCTCCTCATCTTCTATCTCCTCATCTCCCTGCTTCTCTCCCACAGATACAGCTCTGCCCGGTGCATGGTCAATTCTGCCTTGTTACTTCTCAAGCTACCCAGCCTTTTTGTTCCCCTCCTTTCCTCCAGTTCTTCACCTCTCCTGCCACCAGTCTTGAGTTCCTCAGTTCACTACCCAGGAACACACCCTTTCACTACTCAACCAACACTCCCAGGGTATGTCTACACTAGCCCCCTAGTTCGAACTAACGAGGCTAATGTAGGCATTACAAGTCGCAAATGAAGCCCGGGATTTAAATATTCTGGGCTTCATTTGCATCTTCCCAGGCGCCGCCATTTTTAAATCCCCCTTAGTCCGAACTCCGTGCCCGCGGCTACACGCGCATGGAGTAGGTAATTCGAATTAGAATCTCTAATTCAAACTATCGGTACACCTCGTTCCACGAGGAGTAACAGTAGTTTGAATTAGAGATCCTAATTCGAACTACCTACTCCGTGCCGCATGTAGCTGCGGGCACAGAGTTTGGACTAAGGGGGATTTAAAAATGGCGGCGCCTGGGAAGATGCAAATGAAGCCCAGAATATTTAAATCCCGGGCTTCATTTGCGACTTGTAATGCCTACATTAGCCTCGTTAGTTCGAACTAGGGGGCTAGTGTAGACATACCCTGGGAGTGTTGGTTGAGTAGTGAAAGGGTGTGTTCCTGGGTAGTGAACGCCTCCCTAGTTTGAACTAGGGGGCTAGTGTAGATATACCCCCAGTTATTCCCCTCATCTCTTTTCAATTGTGACCCCATTACCAGACATCCACTACCAGATCCAGATCCCTCAGTAACACATACATTTATAAATGAGAGGGTTAAAATTCTGTTTGCTTTGTTTGAGATTGATAAGATGTGAACTAAACTTTTAGTTCATTTTGCCTGTACAGCTGCAATCAACAGACTTATTTCCCTGAGCTGTGCACATTTTTGGTGACTTGTAAACCCTGTTGGTGCATAAAGACATAAGTCACTAAAATAGAGATGTGTCCTCTTACGATCAACTAGAGGAAATAGAGGAAAACTCAACCAGCCAAGGTCTGACCCCAGATATGTTGGACTGTCTGTCACTAAAATCATGTTGCTGAGCTCAGAATCTGACTGAACAAGAAACCAAATAGAAAACAACAGAAACTGTAAAGCCCAGGAACTGTCTACTGTTTCCTTTAGGGCTGTTTAAAAACAACTGCGAATATACAATGAATATTAAATTATTTTAAAAATTCTTGTGGCCTGTGAGGAAGCTGAATTTTTTAAAGTACTATATTATCGGATTTTTAAGTATTCACCATTGGATCCAAAGCCCATTAAGATCTGTGGGATTCTTTCTGTTAGTTTCAATTAGAGATGTAGAGCAAGCCCATAATATTGCAGGACTAAGCTCAGATGAAATTTGAGAAATCAACAGATAAGAACACAACATATGAATAGGTTATTGGTGTAGATAATTAGTCTGACCTTCCATTTTTAAAGAGCCAAATTTCTGTGTCTGGGCTCATTTACATAGTGGAAATTCTGGAGCCCAATTCCTGAATTCTTCATTGAGTCATATAAGGATTATCTTCTGACACCTCCATTCCCATGGTTGCTCAGACCATATCCCCCCTTGCTCTTCATGATTGTTGGGGCTCCCTCTTCATAACAGGGCTCTGTTCAAGTCACTGTATGGTCCTCGTCTTTAGGGGTATCAAAGTCTCACAGTAATAGAGAGGTGGCCATGTTAGTCTGATCTTGCTAAAACAAAAGGCAAAACTATGTAGCACTTTAAAGACTAACAAGATGGTTTCATAGGTGATGAGCTTTCCTGGGCCAGACCCACTTCCTCAGATCAGGCTCCCAGGGGTGCTGCCGCTTTGAAACGCAGGGAGCATGGGGTCAATGGGGGACTGCCCCGCAGGCCCCGTGCTTCCCGCGGTGCTTTCGCCTTTGAAATGTAGCAACATCCCTTATCAACTAATCAAAATTTAACATCCCTACTTCCAACAGATGAGCCTCCTGTTTGTAGCAGAAATTCTTATTATTAGACTCTACATGTATGGCCCTAAACTATGTACTATTGAATTGCATCCCATTTTTTCATGCCATTATTCGAGGTCATCCAGATCATATTCCAATCCTATATAATTTCCAGTTCTCCTCTATGTTCCTTCTCCCCTTTAGCCAGTTCCCAGTCCACCTTATGATCCTTATGCTGATACCAATCTTCCCTATTGTAACAGATAATTTCCCATGTGGTGCCATGAAATCCAAATATAAAAAAACATCATTATTTTCTTAAAGAAGGGAATAAAATTAGTTGGCATAATTTTACCTTTGTAAACCCACGTGCATTACATCCCCTTTACCATTTACCTTCATGGGACCCTATAAGTAGCAGTTGCCTGCTACAGATCTGCTACTGACTTGTTCCCTGGGCCACTTCCCCAGGATGCTGCTCTGTCCCAAAATCTCAGGATTCTGAGACTTGACTCTGAATGCATCCTGTAGTCAGCTATGACTAGTCTCTGACCACTGAACCTGGGTCTCACCCAGGCCTAAAGTTCAGCCACTACTTTGAGCTGTCCTCAGTGCTTTTGTCCTCACAGTCAGTCCATAGATCCAGCTGGGTTGAACTCCTGTGAGGAGCTGCTAGGCCCTAGCCCAGCAGCTTCTTTTATACTGGCCTGCTGGGCCCTGATTGACTGCTGCAAAGACAGCCCCTCTATCCTGCTTGGAGGACCTCTCTTCTGCTCCTCTTGCTGGGGCAGGCTGTGGCCAGGCCTCCAGCCTCCAGTAGGGAGCGTCAAGGCTTAGTCTACCTTGTCACAACTCTGAAAACATGCTCATTGTGCAGTGGCTGTCAAAAAACCAAACATGATGCTAGGAACTATTAGGAATGATAACACAGAAAATATCATAATGCCCATACCTTGAATAGTGCATGCAGTTATGAACGTAAGAGCATAAGAATGGCCGTACTGGATCAGATCAATGGTCCATCCAGCCCAGTATCCTGTCTGCTGACAGTGGCCAATGCCAGATGCCCCAGAGGGAGGGAACACAACAGAGGGAGTGAACACAACAGGTAATCCTCATGTGATCCCTCTCCTGTCACCCACCTCCAGAGAAACAGAGGCTAGGGACACCATTCCTGCCCATCTTTGCCAATATTTGAATTTAATTATTTTTTCCTTCACAATTGGTTCTAAAGTCTTGCACACTACTGAGGTCACACTAGCTGGTCTGTAATTATTTAGATCCTTCTTTTCCCCTTAATTATAGTTGTGTGTGTTTCAATACACCTGATTATCTTTAATGTCCTAAAACCAACTATATAATATACACTGTCAAAAATATGAAAAGTGTCTGTCTACATGTTGCTTTTTTTCTTTAGCTTCACCTCCTAATTTTGAACTGAACCCAATGAAGAAGAAGATATTGGCTGCAAAAGGAGGCCGTGTAATAATTGAATGTAAACCTAAAGCTGCTCCTAAACCAAAATTCTCATGGAGCAAAGGAACAGAATTGCTTGTAAATGGGAGCAGGTCAGTATTGGTTCTAGAGAGCATGACAGGTCTCAGAATAGTTTTATGATACCTGTATATTAATGTTTAAATTTTATTCTAGATTTTTATTGACAGGTTCTTCAATTCTTGCAAAATTGAAGCAAAGAACCATTCTCAATTAAATTCTTTATTTTTATTTTTTCATTCTTAATGAAAAATTAAAAACACTAATTCTCATTTTGTATATAAATCTTCCTTGTAAATTTGCAGTTCCACTAGTACATTTGCTAAGGATTAGCCATGAGATATTGGCTCTAGGTTTGGCAGGGCAGTACTTTAATCGTCTGTGACTTTCACTTGTCCTGTTTTTACTATGATCCTGCTTGCTGCTGTTCTTCAGAGTTGAAATACATTAATAATTCATGAAGGAGAAAAGAAATTACTTAGCAGTAAATGGAGTTGTCTGAAGGTACACTGCATGCCACTGGTATTGGAATGTAGGGTATGTGTAGCTGCAAACTACAGTATAATCTTTGATAAAGAGAGGCGGGTGGGAAAGGTTCTGGAATTTCCCAAATGCATCTCCCTGCCAGAGCATTTCCTCACTGGCTGATCTTTCACTGTTGAGAAGAAAGGTTCTGGCAGCTCCCACAGCTGGAACCTTTCCATGCATCAGGGAGCTGTCAAAGCTTTCCCCCCCACTTTGCTGGGGGCCATAGAGAGAAGCTTCAGACGCTTCCTGTGGTGGGGAGTGGCTCCAAAAGCTCTCTTCATATGGGACCTGTTCCAAACTCCTAATCTTTTTTGTTGCCCTTTTCTGAACCTTTTCCAATGCCAATATATCTTTTTTGAGATGAGGCGATCACATCTATACACAGTAATCAAGATGTGGGCATACCATGGTTTTATATAGAGGCATCAGGATATTTTCTGTCTTCTTCTCTATCCCTTTTTTAATCATTCCTAACATTCTGTTTGCTTTTTTACTGCCGCTGCAACCTGAGTGGATGTTTTCAGAGAACTATCCACAATGATGCCAAAATCTCTCTCTTGAGTAGTTGTAGCTAAATTAGTCCCCATTATATTGTATGTATAGTTGGGATTATTTCTTCCAGCGTGCATTACTTTGCATTTATCAACATTAGACAGTTTTGGTTACTCCATTTCAAAAAGAGATTAACATTAAAAAACCAGAACGATAACAAAAAATAGGAGTAAGGAACAGCTTCTGTGTGACAGGGAGAGTGTAACTGTTCACCTTAGAAAAGAGACAGCTAAGGGTGGATATGAGAGAGAATGATACAGTCGGAATTGATATGGAGGAAGTTATGACGAGGGGGGGGGGGGAAGGAAAAAGAAAAGAAAAGAAAAGAAAAGAAAAGAAAAGAAAAGAAAAGAAAAGAAAAGAAAAGAAAAGAAAGGATTGGGCCTACCATGGTCCCCCTGCAGTGCCGTCATGAACCATCGGGGTCTGTGGGACACAGGTTGGGAACCACTGCTTTATTATGATAATCTAATTATTAAATACACTTAAGGCCTGATTTAAAAGTCCATTAAAGTCAGTGGAAAGATTCCTATTGCTTTCAATGACTTTGGCTTAGTTCCCTAATACATTTTTATTATAATGCAGGATGAATGGGTTAAATGTCCTAAAGTAAACCATCAAACACCCTTCCAGGTTATAGAAAAGAAAATATAAATAGGAGCATAAATTACAGAAGGCAACATTTTAAAATAAAATCCTCTGTAAATGAACAGTGTTGGATTCTTAATTATTGGTATTGTTTCTTAGGCAGCAAGTATGCTCCATACTATACAATACAATACACAAAAATAAAGACAGTGTCTGCTGCAAAAAGTTTCAGGTGAGGTCTTAATGCTAATTTTTTTAAACCATTTTCAATTATATCCATGGGATTTAGGAACATCGGAACAGCCATACTGGGTCAGATCGATGGTCCATCTAATCCAGTATCCTGTCTTCTGATACCAGAGGCCAATGCCAGAGGCTTCAATGGGAATGAGTCGAAAAGTCAATCACTGAGTGACACAGCCTCTGTCTTCTAGTCCCTGCTGCTTGGGAAACCCAGATCATGGAATCATGTGTTCGACCATCTTGCTTCATAGTCACTGATGAACCTATCTTCCATAAACTTCTCTAATTCTTTTTGGAACCCAGTCATAGTTTGGGCCTTCAAAACATTGAAGTCCCAGAGGTGACTTGTGCACTGTGTGAGGACTTACTTCTTTTGTTTGTTTGAAACATGCTGCCTATTGATTTAGTTTGCCAACCTCTGGTTCTTGTGCATCTGGTATCAAGTACAGTAGGCGTATCATGAATGTATATAGAGGCATTATATTTTCTGTCATATTATCTAGCCTTTTCCCAACCAAAAGCCGAGAGGCAGAGGGACACTACAACTGGGGTTATAGCTGGGTTTAGTTGGAGTTGGCCCTGCTTTGAGCAGAGGGTTGGATTAAATGACTCCTGAGGTCATGTCCAGCTATAATCTTCCATGATTCTGTGAACTGCTAAAAATAGATAATTGCAGTAACAAATGTGCAGGCTGGTGTGGTCCTGCCATTCAAGGAACAGATTGTGGAATCATTGTGGAAAGTTCTCTTGTGAAGGGGTCTGTCCTCACATGAGCACCCCTCTGGGGCCGAGGGTGTTTCGTACTTTCTCTGTCTGTCTGCTGGAGAGTAGGTGTCTGAAATGTGGCCTGGGACCAGGTTTCTTTTACCCCCTTGCTGTGGCCATGAGGGTTGGGGGTGGGGGTGAAACCCAGGCTTGGCTGCTCCTCTGGGTGTTGGCACAGGGACCCTATAAGTAGCAGTTGCCTGCTACAGATCTGCTACTGACTTGTTCCCTGGGCCACTTCCCCAGGATGCTGCTCTGTCCCAAAATCTCAGGATTCTGAGACTTGACTCTGAATGCATCCTGTAGTCAGCTATGACTAGTCTCTGACCACTGAACCTGGGTCTCACCCAGGCCTAAAGTTCAGCCACTACTTTGAGCTGTCCTCAGTGCTTTTGTCCTCACAGTCAGTCCATAGATCCAGCTGGGTTGAACTCCTGTGAGGAGCTGCTAGGCCCTAGCCCAGCAGCTTCTTTTATACTGGCCTGCTGGGCCCTGATTGACTGCTGCAAAGACAGCCCCTCTATCCTGCTTGGAGGACCTCTCTTCTGCTCCTCTTGCTGGGGCAGGCTGTGGCCAGGCCTCCAGCCTCCAGTAGGGAGCGTCAAGGCTTAGTCTACCTTGTCACAACTCTGAAAACATGCTCATTGTGCAGTGGCTGTCAAAAAACCAAACATGATGCTAGGAACTATTAGGAATGATAACACAGAAAATATCATAATGCCCATACCTTGAATAGTGCATGCAGTTATGAACGTAAGAGCATAAGAATGGCCGTACTGGATCAGATCAATGGTCCATCCAGCCCAGTATCCTGTCTGCTGACAGTGGCCAATGCCAGATGCCCCAGAGGGAGGGAACACAACAGGTAATCCTCATGTGATCCCTCTCCTGTCACCCACCTCCAGAGAAACAGAGGCTAGGGACACCATTCCTGCCCATCTTTGCCAATATTTATTGATGAACCTAATCTCCATGAATCTATCTAGCTCTTTTTTGAACCCTGTTAAAGTCCTAGCCTTCATCACATCCTTTGGCAAGGAGTTCCACAGGTTGACCGTGTGCTAAGTGAAGAAAAACTTCCTTTTGTTTGTTTGAAACATGCTGCCTATTGATTTAGTTTGCCATAGTTCTTATATAGTGGGAATAAGTAAATAACATTTCCTTATTCATTTTTCCACATCAGTCATGATTTTATAGACCTCTATCATATCCCCCCTTAGTCTCCTCTTTTCTAAGCGGAAAACTCCAAGTCTTTTTAATCTCTCTTTATATGGGACCTGTTCCAAACCCCTAATCTTTTTTGTTGCCCTTTTCTGAACCTTTTCCAATGCCAATATATCTTTTTTGAGATGAGGCGATCACATCTATACACAGTAATCAAGATGTGGGCATACCATGGTTTTATATAGAGGCATCAAGATATTTTCTGTCTTCTTCTCTATCCCTTTTTTAATCATTCCTAACATTCTGTTTGCTTTTTTACTGCCGTTGCAACCTGAGTGGATGTTTTCAGAGAACTATCCACAATGATGCCAAAATCTCTCTCTTGAGTAGTTGTAGCTAAATTAGTCCCCATCATATTGTATGTATAGTTGGGATTATTTCTTCCAGCGTGCATTACTTTGCATTTATCAACATTAGACAGTTTTGGTTACTCCATTTCAAAAAGAGATTAACATTAAAAAACCAGAACGATAACAAAAAATAGGAGTAAGGAACAGCTTCTGTGTGACAGGGAGAGTGTAACTGTTCACCTTAGAAAAGAGACAGCTAAGGGTGGATATGAGAGAGAATGATACAGTCGGAATTGATATGGAGGAAGTTATTTACCCATGATATAATGTGTAAACCTGTGGTTACACAATAAAATTACTAGGCAGCAGGTTTAAAATAAACTTAAAGAAATTCTTCACATGGTGCACAACCTATGGAACTTGTTGGAGCTGTTGTGAAGGCAAAAGGTACAACTGGATTAAAAAAGGAATTAGTTCAGTTAATGGAGCATATCAATGGCCATTAGCCAGAATAGTCAGAGATGGAACCCCATGCTTTGGATGTTCCTAATCCTCTGACTGCCAGAAGCTGGGATTGGGCTATAGTTGATGGACCACTCAATAAATTGTCCTGCTCTGCTCACTTCCTCTGAGGCATCTGTTAGAAGACCAGATACTGGACTAGAAAGACCATTTGTCTGACACAATATAGACATTCTTACGTATCCCGAGTATATATCTTCTACATATGCACAGTGCTCCTTGCTCCTCACCCACTCTGGCTTGGTGAGGGAATAAAAACAAATCTGGACTCAGGATCTCTTGAACTCTCAGGTTTTAAGATCAATTTAACTATAAGTTCCCTATTCTGATTATACTGCCACTGTGTTTCACTGATTTACAAGCATGATGCACAGCTCCTGTGCTGTGAAACAGCAGAGGCATTATTGCTGGAGCATGCCAATTGTATGTCAGTAGCCTGTTGGAAATTTACAGATATACCATGCAGATACATTGACAAAGGCATACAGAAAATCTTTACTTACACACGGTATAATTAAAAATTGATTTAATGCTTAATATAATGTTTCTCTACTTTATTTCTCTGAAATATATACGCTGCTATGTTCTTCAGTTCCTGGTTTTTGTCATAGCTCTTTAAGGGTATGTCTACACTACCACCCTAGTTCGAACTAGGGTGGTAGTGTAGACATACCCTTACAGAGCTATGACAAAAACCAGGAACTGAAGAACATAGCAGCGTATATATTTCAGAGAAATAAAGTAGAGAAACATTATATTAAGCATTAAATCAATTTTTAATTATACCGTGTGTAAGTAAAGATTTTCTGTATGCCTTTGTCAATGTATCTGCATGGTATATCTGTAAATTGCCAACAGGCTACTGACATACAATTGGCATGCTCCAGCAATAATGCCTCTGCTGTTTCACAGCACAGGAGCTGTGCATCATGCTTGTAAATCAGTGAAACACAGTGGCAGTATAATCAGAATAGGGAATTTATAGTTAAATTGATCTTAAAACCTGAGAGTTCAAGAGATCCTGAGTCCAGATTTGTCTGGAGAGGGATGGCAGGAGACAAATCGCTTGATCATTGTCTTCGGTCCACCCTCTCTGGGGCACCTGGTGCTGGCCACTGTCAGTAGACAGGATACTGGGCTAGATGGACCTTTGGTCTGACCCAGTACGGCCATTCTTATGTTCTTATGTTCTTATATTTACAGCCCAAGACCAGGGGTCCTCCTCTATAAGGCATACCAAACAAGGCACAAAGAGCACTTCTGTTTGCCACGCTGGCTAGCCAAAAGTCACACACAGAGTCTCCTACACACTCCAGCTTCTTCTGTATGACAACTAGTACCTCACCGTACACAGATAATTATGAAAATCAGTCTCACCAAATCTGAACAGCTTCTTCTGATCCCAAGGGAACAGCCCCATTCCTAGGTCAATTCATACCTCAGATTTTACCCAAAAGAGCATGCAGAGCCAATACTTTAAAATCGAAAGGCTTATTAGTAAAGAAAGAAAGAAAAGGTTGAGAGTAAAATTGTTAAAGGAAACTAATTACATACACCAATTATGGTGGAAAAGTCTGCTTTCTTATAAGTCTCTGGAATACAACCTTTGTTAGGATGGGTCATCAGCTCGTCTGGGTTCAATTCATAGCAAAGATGCTCCTGAAGTGATGACCTGGAGTGAAGATAAATAGAGGAACCTCAAGGGTCCTTTTCATAATCTTGCCCATGTGGATGGAATTCCATTCTTCTCACTGGGTGTGTCTCAACTACATGGCTCCGTCAATGGAGCCATGTAGATTAGGAAGGACGGCAAAGGGAAATGAGGCGGCGATTTAAATAATCGGCACTTCATTTAAATCAAAATGGCTGCCACACTGCACCTATCAGCTGATTGTCGGCACAGCGCGGCAGTCTAGATGGAGATCTGCCGACCCCAGAACCCTTTGTTGGAAGATCCTTTATGCCTCGTGAAACAAGGCTTTCAGAATCTGCCAACGAAGGGTTCTGGGATCAGCAGACCTCTGTCCTGACTGCTGCACTGTGCCGACAGTCAGCTGATCAGTGCAGTGTGGCAGCCATTTTGATTTAAATGAAGTGCCGATTATTTAAATCGCCGCCTCATTTCCCTTTTTCAAGTAAATTAATCTGCATGGCTCCGTTGATGGAGCCATGTAGTTTAGACGTACCCACTGTGTGAAAGTACCTCCCCAACTGGAATTTGCCACATGAGTAAGTCACCTGTCTGTGCATGACTCAGCACTTTAGGCAACCAGCTGGTCTGCAGGTTCACAGCAAAATTCCACAGATGGGGATCGGCACCACTTAAAGTCCATTGTCAGTCAAGTACTCCAATTCACTTGACTATCCACCCTTTCAGAGTAGGTGGGTGAAGCCAGTTGATATATCCCAGAAGCAAATATTTGAAATACCGGTACAAAGCCAATATTTGTAAGTTCAAATACAAAAACCATATGTGCATATGAATAGAAGACACAGAATCAGTGAATCATCTGCTTTCAATAGACACCTCACTTGGCCTACTTGGTACAAAATGTAGTACAAACATACAACAGTGGTCACCTCACTTGGCCTACTTGGTACAAAATTTAGTACAAACATACAACAGTGTAACAGTGTAACAGTGTAACAGTGTTTTGCATGTTCATATCAGAGTGCCTCTGCCATGAGGATTATATGAATCACAATCACCTGGAATTGGTTAGGCTGGTGACTGAATGTTTCTCCTGATTTATCATATACCTGTCTCTATTTGTTCCCACCCAACCCCCTTTCTTTCTTTCTTTCTTTCTTTCTTTCTTTCTTTCTTTCTTTCTTTCTTTCTTTCTTTCTTTCTTTCTTTCTTTCTTTCTTGTCAGATTGTGAATTCTCTGTTCCAAACTTCCTTTGTTTCACTCACTTGTGCTGTGCCTGGCACATCAGCGCCTTGGCACCTCTGGGAGCTAGCTACATTTTCATTGTGGTGGTTCCTACTGCATAGATGTATTTAATATTTTTATGCAAACTAATTATATTTATTTTATCTAGATGCTAAACTATGATATTACTTGAAGAGAGACTATAATCAGCCAAAGAAAATTAGTCTGGTTGTCTCATCCCAATCCATAGTGTGAATTTGTCTGTATGGTTTGGAAATCCCTGCTAAAACAAAACAAAACAAAAACAAACAAAAAACAGGATTGAAATTGTAGGGCGATGGTAGGTCAAAATATCATTGGCAGTGTTAACTGGAATAGCTTCCTTAGCACCTAGTTATAGTCCTTCTAATTCATCTTTCAATTATTTGAGTCTTAAACCTATACAACTAAAAGAAAAATATTGGATAGAACATAAATATGTGGAATACATCCCCCCAATTTAAATTGCATCCTTTATTGCCAATTCTATTAACCATGCCTAACTCTGGTTAAACCTTGAATGGGTGCTTGAGCATTTACAAATGCAATAATTAGACTGCAGCCATTGAGAGACCCTTATGAGGTTTTTTTAACATATTCAGGGATATCCATGGGAAACACAGTTCTTTCTGACAAAAATAACTATTTTAATTCATAGTATATTTTCACACTTTCAATAGGATATCTATTTGGGATGATGGTAGCCTGGAAATTGTTAATATCACAAGGTTGGATCAAGGCAGCTACACATGTTTTGCAGAAAATAACCGAGGAAAAGCTAACAGTACTGGTACTTTGGAAATCACAGGTAAAACTGCATTTTTGTTAGTTTGTTGCACATAACATGCCTCTTCAGGCCAAGACAGAGGGAGAGAGATGGGTCCATGACCATCCTCCTCCCTTCCTCTCCTTGGCTCCTCTTTGTTTCTTTTTCAGAGTGTTGTGGGGGTTAGTGAGTAATGCAATTAAATAAAACATTTATTTGAATTTACAAGCTGGGTTCATTCATCCAAATAAATGTGCTGATGTAACACATTGCCGTACTGGTATTAGGTGCTGATATATTTAATCAACTTTTTACAGCCCCTCAAATAACTGCAGGGAGGAGAAAGGGAAGATAGTGTTCATGAGCATCTGTCTGCCAGGCATCTAAAAAACCAACACACATTTGTGTGTTAAATGTATATGAAAAGAAAACAATTCCTGCAGCCAGGCTGTCTGTGGCAGTCTTGTTCAGCAACATGATGCCACAAGACAAACTTTACAACAGAAGAGTCACTCCATCAGAACAACATTTTTTGTAACTAATTCCCTGGACCACATGCAGTGATGTTTCAAATAGTCCGAAGAGTTTATTTTTAATCACAAGGTCTGTTTAATTAGTATAGTTATTTATTTCTCTTTATATTTTGTAGCTTTGTTTTTAAATCACTACATTCATCATTCTTAGTGTTCTGGAAACTTGTGTAAACAAATATACAACCCCTTTAAAGTGATACTATACATTTTAGAATAAACAAAATCACTGACTTAAATGATCTCTAAAGTTAAATATTTAAAACGTGTGTTTATAAACTAAACATAAGCCATTTCATTTTGTACCTGAGGACTCGGAGCTAGCTCATTTAAGGAGAGAAACCTAATGAAAGTTGCATCGCAACTTTAAAAAACAGTGATGACCGGCTAGTTGACAGATTTCAAAACTTAACACCTGTCATGGACATGGAAATTTGCCCTAGCCCTGTGTCCGCATGCTGGGGTGTGTCTACACTTGTCAGTAAAAGGTTCTGGAAGTGGAAAGGTGGGGCAGAAAGTTTTCCGGAGCTCTCCATTGCCAGAGATTTTCCCGCCGTGGGAGTTTTTTCCTGTGGTCATGGAAAGCTCCAGCAGAGCCTCTGGGGAAACACCGCTGTAGATAAGTGGCACACCTTGGGCAAGTAGGGTGGGGTATGTACTTGTGTACATTTTCACATCCTTTAGGCATGTCTTTGTTCACCTGAACCATACCTCAGCTAAATCTCTATCCTGTTATTTGTACCTGTGCTATATGGCTACATGAGTATGTAAACCCCACCACTGAAAGAAGAATGCAATGTAGACGTATCCCAAAATGACAGAAGACTTTACAATAAAAAACAAAATCCAGCAATAATTATAAAATCAGCTACCAAATGTACACACACGTACTAAAATACCATTCCCTTCTGTAACACTACACTCTTTGGTGTCTAAGCATGTGCCAGCTAAATTAGATCTGTATAGCAAGATCCCTGAGAAACCTCACGGCATCTCCTGCTCATTTATTCTTTTTCATAATTATAGAACACTCTGAGATTATACATATTTTCTTCTTTTTTTCTATTCTTCTTTGACTCTTCCCAAAATAACTATTTGCATTTCATGCATAATTAAACATTGTTTCTGAACAGATAATTTACAGTCCCCCATTACAGGGTGGAGCAGTGGAAACGAGAGCACTGAGCAGTTCTCCCCATTCTTTAATGGGTCCTGCAAAATGGGTCCTCTGACGTCTGTTCTGTGCACTGAGCAGTTCTCCCCATTCTTTAATTATACAATTTTTTTAAAAATTGTAAGGAACAAAAAAATGCATGATGGGTCCTGCAAAATGGGTCCTCTGATGTCTGTTCTGTAAATACAAATAACTCAGCATATAGCTGAGTATAGTCATCATGATCAGAGGTTAAAAATATGTATTCTCAGAGAATGAGCAAACAAAGGGCAAGGCATTTCAGGAGTAAGAGTGTTGGCACTTTCCTTAGGATCGCTCTCACTCCCCATTGTAGTCTGTTTCCCCCCTTTTGAAATGTAGTTGCATAAATAACATGTAAATCAGTTTGTTCTTTTCATGTCTGATCAAACAGCTAGATTTGCATCTGTGTATTTACTTATTAGAATTTTCCATGTTTCCTTTTAACTTCACAGAAGCTACAAGGATTACCTTAGCGCCAACTAATGTTGATGTCACAGTTGGAGAGAATGCCACCATGCAGTGTATTGCATCCTATGATACCACGTTAGACCTGACATTTATTTGGTCTCTTAATGGCTACATGATAGATTTTGAAAAAGAGCATGATCATTATGAAAGGAGTGTTATGGTAAGATTCCGCTGACCTTCATTTGATATTCTAAACTCTGGTTTTCGGTATCATGGAATACATGGGCTATGTCTACACTGGCACGATCTTGCGCCAGAAGTATGCAAATGAGGCTAAGCGTGGAATATTGCCAAGCCTCATTTGCATACCTAAT